CGCCCGGCCCTCTACAGAATCCACCCCCCAAACCTCCAGGTACTTCCCTCCTTAGAGCTGGCAACCCTACATTCCCCTCAGTGCCTGTTGGTAGGCAACTAAGCTTCGTCCTGTCACCTACTTTGGCCTTCGGGAGAAAACACATTGGGGCCAGTCCCGATAGGGTTGCCAACTCCAGATGGGAAATTCCTGGAGACTTGAGGGATGGAGCCTGAAGAGGGTGAGGTTTGAGGAGGGGTGGGACCTCAGGCAGGTACACTGCCATAGACTCCACCCTCCAAACCAGTCAGTCCCACATAGGGAACCATTGTTGCCAATCTCCAGGTGAGGGCTGGAGAGCGCTCAGTATTACAACTGCTCTGCAGAAGGGAGGGCAGAAGTCAGCTGAAGTCAAAGGGGCAGATAATGGTAAGTTGTTGGCTAGCTGGGATGGGGTTGCCAACTACATGCTGACAAATTCCTGGGGATTTGAGGGGTGGAGCCTGGAGAGGGTGGGGTTTGCAGAGGGGTGGGACCTCAGACAGGTAGAATGCCATAGACTCCACCCTCCAAACCAGCCATTTTGTCCTGGGTAACAATTGTTGCCAATCTCCAGGTGAGGGCTACAGATTACTCACAATTACAACTGCTCTTCAGGTAGAAGAGATCAGTTCCTCTGGAGAAAACAGTGGACTCTGTCATTATACCCTGCTGAGGTCACCACAGCAAATTGACACTGTTTGCCCAAAGCCAGAGCACTGCCCCAGAGCCTCTTTCTAGATTCCGTTGTATTGCTTTCACAACGGGCTTTACTGCTAGTAAGGATATAATAAAGAGGACACAGTCCAATAAAATACAAATATAATGAAATTAAATATAACAAGGCATGCTTTACATACCACGGGACATAGATATATTTAAACTTTATCAACTCATACACCAGAAACTCCAACAATATGGAACACAATCTCCCAGTTTTACTAGGCCTACAGTTCAAGGATTCACTGAAGCCTGGTGGATGAACGAATGTAGGTTCTTCCAATATTCTTCTTTACTCTCGCTCACAGTTTGAGCCAGTTTGGTGTAGTGGTTAGGAGCGTGGGCTCTTATCTAGGAGAACTGGGTTTGTGACAATTTCGAACTAGATTAACTTTATCTGGTAGTTTCCTGATTCACAGAAATAATTTCCTTGCTTAATGTTTGTGTCAAAAACTGACCATGACATGATTAACACCATGGATGAATATTTGCTTACAGATGTTTTGGGGCTCAGAAGATGAGTTTTTGTCCTTATGATTAACTCTGATTATGATTAAGAGCCAGTTTGGTGTAATGGTTAAGAGTGCAGACTCTAATCTGGGAGAACTGGGTTTGATTCCCCACTCCTCCACATGCAGCTGCTGGTGTGACCTTGGGTCAGTCATAAGTTCTGTCAGAGCTGTTCTCTCAAGGGCAGTTCTCAAGAGCGCTCTGTCAGCTCCACCTACCTCACTGGGTGTCTGTTGTGGGGAGCGGAAGGGAAAAGGACTGTAAGCCACCCTGAGACTCCTTCGGGTAGTGAAGGGTGAGGTATAAATCCAATCACTTCTTCTCTTCTTCTATGGGTAAGTTAGCTGATAACAAGCTGCGTTTCACCGAAGGCTTCTCCACAAAGATGGAACTCTAAGTCTTCTGCTTCAAAGGGAAAAAAGT